TTTGACAGCTCACTACGGAGTCAGCTGACAAGATAGATGGTTGAAGATTTACATAGTGATGTAGAATTTTAACTAGTTTTATCCGATACCAAATGTTAATACAAGAACTTAATTTTAAAAATTCAATTAAGCGTCACTTTCGACCCATTTCAACCCAACGTGCGCTGATCCCAGATAGAATGTCTTGGTCTAGTGGAACATTAGAGCAAATACAAGTAGGAATCCGTTGTTACACGGATGGCTCTAAATTGGGGGACAAAGTGGGGCTGGGGTTCTATATTGAAGACCCGGAAACAGAAATATACCACCGTTTACCAAATCATCACACAAGCTTCCAGGCAGAAGTACGAGCAATAACGGAATGCGTAAATTGGATTAGAATAAATATGGCGCCCACAGCGCAAAAGCTGAACTAAAAATATGGGTGAGAGAATCCCATAAGGCCTCTTGAAATAATGAAACAGTGGGTAGAACCACGAAGATCCTATGGGGTGACCATGATGAGAGCAAGACGAAAAATCTCCTCAAAATGAGCAAGTTTGAAGTTAGAATGATGGTACGTATTCTGAGTGGACACACAGGATTACGACCACATCTATGCAAAATTGAAAGATGCTCACAACAGGCCCGAAGTGTATTTCTTCGGATTTGATGTAGTGTACATCCTCCTATCAACATACCTACCTAAAACTTTTGATACATCAAAAGAACGTGGGTATCTTATGGATTAAAATGAGATGTACAAAATAGTTGTAGCTTGAAAACTGTCAAAGTTATTTGCAGGAATGGAGAAAATACAATGTACTAAGAAATTCACTCTGTACCAAAATTGTAATGATGTCCAAATTTGATCAATTTTAGAACTTAATATTTTTGAATAAGTGATATGTCAAAAGAATGTGCGTTTCTCAAGGTATACAAAATTGTCGTACCTTGAAAATTGTGAAAGTTATTTGCATTAATAAGGAAAATATAATATACTAAGAAATGTACTATGTGCCAAAATTGTAATGATATGCAAATTTGATACATTTTATAAACTTGAAAAGGTTTCAGAGTATCTTTGGAATATAGTGGCCAAATTGCACTTTTTCACTTTTAAAATTTTTGAAAAAGTAACATAAATATCTATAAAAAAATGGAATTTTAAAAAGTCGTTAATAATTAAATCTTTGTCTGTAAAGATGGTTTAAAATAACACCTTTTCATACATATTAATAATATATTTGCTATCGAAAAAATTTTTGAAATTTTATATTAAATGGTAGATTCGCACAAAAAAGTTATGGCATTAATTAATAAAAACATTTTCTGGAAAAATATTTACAAAAACATACAAACGTACAGAAAAAAGTCTTAGCTTTAGGCATATTCAATTTTTATCAAAAAACTCATTTCTAAATATTTACTTTATGCCAACTTTACTTAAATGAGACCCAAATGTACACTGTAGCATATTTAAAAATGTAATAAATTTGTTTAAAAAAAATTATAATATCATTTTTATACCCTTCCCCTTCGTGAGAAGGGTATATATAAGTTTGTCATTCCGTTTGTAATTTCCAAAATATAATTTTCCGACCCCATAAAGTATATATATTCTGAATCCTTATAGATAGCGGAGTCGATTAAGCCATGTCCGTCTGTCTGTCTGTCTGTCTGTCTGTTGAAATCAGTTTTCTGAAGACCCCAGATATCTTCGGGATCCAAATCTTCAATAATTCTATCAGACATGCTTTCGAGAAGTTTCCTATTTAAAATCCGTAAATAAACAACGGAGATATAAGCAAAAATCCGAGACAACCTCTGAAAATTTCATAAAAAATAAGTAACAACAAACTGCTCATTCATTGCGTTGTGTATTTTGTTTTTGTGTTTTTGATTACTTCGTTTCGGAATGTGTTTCATTGCCTTGTGTATGTTGTTTTTGTTTTTTGGCGTATTCAGTTTCGTATGTTTGGATGGCTGTGTATATTGTTTTTGTTTCTTGGTGTATTCAGTTTCCTATGTTTGGATGTCTGTTAGTTTCATTGCGTTGTTTTTGTGCATTTTGTTTTTTTGTGTATTTAGTTTCGTATGTTTGGATGTCTGTTGGTTTGCCTGCCATTTGTGTGTTTATTTCGTTTAGCGTGGTTGTTGTTTATTATGTTTTGTTATTGCTATAATAATGATATAGTCAGGAAAATGAAATAAATTAAAATTTTTTTTTTTCTTCTGAATGTCAAGCTTTTTGCCGATTTCGGTTTGGCAAACCTTCCTTAAACACATTCAAATAAATGTTGTTAATTTGTTTTGTATTTTACTTGTATTTCGTTATTGTAACAAAAACAAAATACAAATAAAATTTTTCCTAAAGTACACGCACTTTATCTAGAAACAACACACAGTGGTATAGGAAAAAAAAAAAGAGGGAAATAATTCGGTAACTTCTAAACGGTTAATCCGATTTTAATGAAATTTGGTGTGCACAAAGAGGAGGTGTTGTCGAGTTTAGGTTTTGAATTTGGACCTTATAGGCCAACCAGGGGCCCGGCGGGGGGTCATCAAATTAGGACACCTCGGCTATGTTAAATTTTTAAAACGATCCTATTTCTTCATTTGAGTTCCGATTTAAAAAAAATTTCGTATATAGAATCTCCTCATCGAGCACTATAAAAAATGTTGTCATAGCAGTAAATTATCTCTTATAGTTTAGGAGATATTCGCATTTGAAAATTAAAATTTTAAAATTTTTACCGTCCTTACTTTAGTTTTTTTTGATAATAGCAGGTCCAAATATTCCCGATTTTCGCCATTTTGTTTTATTCGCTTAACAACAAGTTTATATATCAAGCAGTGAAAGAATTATGTAAAAATCATGACTGAGTCCAAAGTTATAGGCATTTTAATTTAAAAAATTAAAAAAAGGCGATTTTTTGTCATTTTTTTGGGAAAAAAGTATCTTTTTCTTTTTAAGTTATCTAAAAAGTTTCTAAGAAGATGTATATAGAATTTATACTTTTTGGAAAGCTGACTTTACATAAAGTACGATAAATGAAACAAAACCTAAAAATTTTTGATACCGAGGGGACCAGGTCCATCCAAAAAAACCCTATTTTTTATGGAAAATTAAATTTTGAGCAAAAATTCTCAAATCGCATAGTCGATATCAAATTATAGTGACCTGTTTTATATGACCCAATATGTTCTTAATCATTTTGTAACGGGTTTCGATAACCCCGCCCCTGGTATGGATATAATAGGCAAAAAACTAAAAAATCCCATTTTTGGGATTTTTGAAAACTTTTTTGGGAATTCCGGGATTTCTAATAAGAAAATTCGAAATTTTGATTTAATTTTGGATTTTAAGTAAAAAAATCTACCTAACTGTAAAATTTCATCAAAAAATATTCATAAATAAAATTTTTATTGCAATTAGAAAAATTTGTATCTTCGCAAAAACTGAATAAAAAACATTTTTTAATTTTTTTTAAAAAAAGTATTCCGCGAATTTTTTAATTTTCAAAAATTATATACAGTTTTGAAAAATAGACAAAATTACCTTTCCATTGATATATAACATGCCTACCTAATGTTTTTTAAGTGACAAATTAATTAGGGAAAACTCAACATCTTTTAGAAAATTTGCCTAGCACTATTATTTTCATCCATAAGGTTAACTCTTAAATTTGTTACATATATGGATGAAAATAATAGTGCTAGGTAAATTTTCTAAAAGATGTTGAGTTTTCCCTAATTAATTTGTCACTTAAAAAACATTAGGTAGGCATGTTATATATCAATGGAAAGGTAATTTTGTCTATTTTTCAAAACTGTATATAATTTTTGAAAATTAAAAAATTCGCGGAATACTTTTTTTAAAAAAAATTAAAAAATGTTTTTTATTCAGTTTTTGCGAAGATACAAATTTTTCAAATTGCAATAAAAATTTTATTTATGAATATTTTTTGATGAAATTTTACAGTTAGGTAGATTTTTTTACTCAAAATCCAAAATTAAATAAAAATTTCGAATTTTCTTATTAGAAATCCCGGAATTCCCAAAAAAGTTTTAAAAAATCCCAAAAATGGGATTTTTTGGTTTTTTGCCTATTATATCCATACCAGGGGCGGGGTTATCGAAACCCGTTACAAAATGATTAAGAACTTATTGGGTCATATAAAACAGGTCACTATAATTTGATATCGACTATGCGATTTGAGAATTTTTGCTCAAAATTTAATTTTCCATAAAAAATAGGGTTTTTTTGGATGGACCTGGTCCCCTCGGTATCAAAAATTTTTAGGTTTTGTTTCATTTATCGTATTTTATGTAAAGTCAGCTTTCCAAAAAGTATAAATTCTGTATACATCTTCTTAGAAACTTTTTAGATAACTTAAAAAGAAAAAGATACTTTTTTCCCAAAAAAATGACAAAAAATCGCCTTTTTTTAATTTTTTAAATTTAAATGCCTATAACTTTGGACTCAGTCATGATTTTTACATAATTCTTTCACTGCTTGGTATATAAACTTGTTGTTAAGCAAATAAAAAAAAATGGCGAAAATCGGAAATATTTGGACCTGCTATTATCAAAAAAACTAAAGTAAGGACGGTAAAAATTTTAAAATTTTAATATTCAAATGCGAATATCTCCTAAACTATAAGAGATAATTTACTGCTACGACAACATTTTTTATAGTGCTCGATGAGGAGATTCTATATACGAAATTTTTTTTAAATCGGAACTCAAATGAAGAAATAGGATCGTTTTAAAAATTTAACATAGCCGAGGTGTCCTAATTTGATGACCCCCCGCCGGGCCCCTGGTTGGCCTATAAGGTCCAAATTCAAAACCTAAACTCGACAACACCTCCTCTTTGTGCACACCAAATTTCATTAAAATCGGATTAACCGTTTAGAAGTTACCGAATTATTTCCCTCTTTTTTTTTTCCTATACCACTGTGCAACACATTAATGTGCTTCTATTTAATTTATTATTTAATTTTATATCTTTGCAG